TTGCACTGAATCTGAAATTTGGTGAGTATTACTGTTTTAGTGATATTAGGTCTTCCACTCTATGAATAAGGATGTCTTCTCTCTTTTTTAAAAAGAAAGTATTTATTTTTAGAGAAAGAGTGCACACACTAGCTCTAGGGAGGGGCATAGGGAGAGGGAGAGAGAGAATCTCTCAAGCAAACTCCCTGCTGAGTGTGGAGCCTGACGCAGTGTTTGATCCCACAACTCATGAGATCATGACCTGAGCTGAAACCAGGAGTTGAGTGCTCAACCAACTGAGCCACTCAGGTACCCCAAGAATGTCTCCCCTTTTACTTAGAATTTCTTAAAAAAAAAAAAATTATTTATTTATTTATTTATTTATTTATTTATTTATTTATTTATTTATTTATGAGAGAGAGAGAGAGAGAGAGAGAGGCAGAGGCAGAGACACAGGAGGAGGGAGAGGCAGGCCCCATGTCGGGAGCCCAAGGTGGGACTTGATCCTGGAGTCAAAGGCAGGTGCCAAGCCGCTGAGCCCCCCAGGGATCCCCTCTTTTTTTTAGATTTTATTTCCTTCAGTATTTAGTTTTCACTATATAAGCCTTTTTTTTTTAAGATTTGTTTATTTAAGAGAGAGAGAGAGAGAGAGCGAAAGCTGGGGGAGGGGTAGAAGGAGAGGGAGGCAAGCAGACTCCCCACAGAGTGGGGAGCCTGATTTGGAGCTGCATCCCAGAACCCTGAGATCATGATCTGAGCCAAAATCAAGAGTTGAAGGCTTAATTGACTGAGCCATCCAGGTCCCCCAAGCCTTATACTTCTTTGATTAAATTTGTTCCAAAGTATATTATTCTATTTGATGCTTGAATGGTGTTTTTTCTTAAAATCATTTTCTGATTGTCCATTGTTAGTGTATAGACATATAAATGATTTTTGTATTTTGATCTTGTATCTTGTAACTTCGCTGAGATTGCTTATTAGTGTTTTTGTGTGAATTCTTAAGCATTTTCTGTATATAAGATCATGTTGTGGCAATAGTTTTATTTCTTCCTTTTCAATCTGGTATTTTTTATTTTTTCCTAATCATTTTGTCCTAAATGTCCTACAATCTCCAGTACAGTGTTGAATAGAAGTAGCAAAAGCAGACATGTTTTCTTGTTCTGAGCTTTAGGGAAAGAGCTTTCACTCTTTCATCATTAAGTCTGATATTACCTGTGAGAAACATCTGTTTTCAAAGTTTTTATTTTATTTTATTATTATTATTTTTAAATATTTATTCATGATAGTCACACACACAGAGAGAGAGGCAGAGACACAGGCAGAGGGAGAAGCAGGCTCCATGCACCGGGAGCCCGACGTGGGACTCGATCCCGGGTCTCCAGGATCGTGCCCTGGGCCAAAGGCAGGCGCCAATCCGCTGCGCCACCCAGGGATCCCTGTTTTCAAAGTTTTTATCTCTAAATGATTACAGATGCATAGCAATTTGCAGAAATACTACAGAGAGGTATCATACCCTTCACTCAGTTTTTCCCAATGGGTACATGTTCTATATCACAGTATCAAAACTGGGAAATTCACATCTTACAAGGTATATGTATAATTCTGTATCATTTTATCACATGTTGATTGGTATAACTGCATGACAGTGAAGATACAGAACTATCGAACTATTCCATCTCCATAAAAACCTTCTTTAGGCTCTTTCTTTTTTTTATTTTTATTTATTTATTTATTTATTTATTTATTTATTTATTTAATTTTTTTTTAAAGATTTGTATTTATTTATTCATAGAGATACAGAGAGAGAGGCGGAGACACAGGCAGAGGGAGAAGCAGGCTTCCATGCAGGGAGCCCGACGTGGGACTCGATCCCGGGTCTCTGGGATCAGGCCCTGGGCTGAAGGCGGCGCTAAACCGCTGAGCCACCCGGGCCGCCCTCTTTCTTTTTTTAAAATGTATTTTAAGTAGAGTCCAGTGTGGGCCTTGAACTGATTCGTTTTGTATCTCTACAGTTTTGTCATTTTGAGAATGTTATATAAATGGATTCATACAGTTTGTGAATTTTTGACATTAGGTTTTTAATTCAAGTTACTTTGATTTTTTTTTTGAACATAGCATCCCTTGTTTTATGGATACAGTAACTTCTTAAGTGTTTCTGAAGATAGTGGAGTTTTTAAAAACATGTTTATTGCCTATATATGTTTATTTTGAGAGCCTACTTTGCTTGGTTTTCCTGTTACGTGTTGCAAGGTTTTTTTTTTTTTTTTTAATATTTTATTATTTACCCATGAGAGACAGAGAGAGAGGCAGAGACATAGGCAGAGGGAGAAGCAAGCTCCATGCAGGGAACCCAATGTGGGACTCGATCCCGGGTCACCAGGATCACAACCTGGGCCAAAGGCAGACGCTTAACCGCTGAGCCATCCAGGCATCCCTGCATGTTGCAAGTTTTTGAGAAGTGGGTGATGGGTAAGAATACTTTGAGGGCACCTGGGTGGCTCAGAGGTTGAGCGTCTGCCTTTGGCTCAGGTTGTGATTCCGGGGTCCTGGGATTGAGTAGAGGGAGCCTGCTTCTACCTTTGCCTGTGTCTCTTGCTTTCTCCCTGTATCTCTCATGAATAAATAAATAAAATCTTAAAAAAAAAAAGAAGAATAGTTTGAATTATACATTCCACTTAAAGATACTGATTATTTTTCTTTATTTTTAAAATTGTTTCTTTGATTTTGTTTTTTGTTTTTTGTTTTTTTTTGTTTCTTTGATTTTGAAATAGAATCTTAGGAAGTCCTTGATGATGGGTGGTGATGCTTTTCTCTGAAAAACAGTTGTAAAGGCAGTGACACAATAAACTTTAACCTTTGCTGCCACTATTATTTTGTGTATGTGAGGAAAAATTTTTATTTTGATCAAAGTAATACATGTACATCCACATTTAAGTTCTATAATTCCACATTGTGCGTGTGTGTATATATAGGAAATTCCATATATACACACATATGTACTCAGAAACAAATCAAAACACCCAGCAGTTTTCTGCCACATACTTCTCTTTCTGATTACTGCTCCCCAGGAAACAAATTATACTTTCAACCTTTCTAGCTTTTATTTCTTCCGTGTTATCTGTTGACTTAATATGGAAGATAAAGACTTGTTTCATTCATGCTCAGCTTATACATTTGTGCCCACCCACTCCTTTCCCTTCTCACCTCCTTACTAGGTACAGCTGAAGCTCTGGCAGAGTTGTAACAAAGAATTCTAATGGCTTTATATATCTATATAGTTTTTTTTAAATTTTTTTATTCATGAGACACAGAGAGAGAGGCAGAGACACAGGCAGAGAGAGAAGCAGGCTCCATGCAGGAAGCCCGATGCTGGACTTGATCCTGGGACTCCAGAATCATGCCCTGGGTGTGAAGGCAGGCGCCACACTGCTGAGCCACCCAGGGATCGCCTATCTATATGGGTTTTTTTTTTTATGAAACAATTCCTGGGGACCTCCACCTTCCTACTTCATTCTGGGCTGTTTAACCCTTTCTTGGCCTTTTATCATTTTTCTTTTAATTTCTTTTACTTTTTATCACTCTTGTGCTGGAACTTCTGTACCCTGGATGGATCCTGTCTTGGATCTAGTTTTTAGCTTTTTTTTTTTTTTTAAGATTTTATTTATTCATTCATGAGAAATACAGAGAGAGAGAGAGTTAGAGAGAGAGGCAGAGACCCAGGCAGAGGGAGAAGCAGGCTCCGTGCAGGGAGCCCAACACGGGACTCGATCCTGGGACTCCAGGATCAGGCCGTGGGCTGAAGGCGGCATTAAACTGCTGAGCCACTGGGGCTGCCCTATTTTTTAGCTTTTTCTCTCATTTTGGTGAAGTATGGTTTATAGTAGCTTCCTGAGAACAGGTGTAGGAGAGATAGTTTACGTATCTGAAAAAGTTTTTATGCTGTACATTTGATTGGTGGCTTAATCGGATTTAGAATTGTAAGTTGAAAATAACTTTTCCTTAAAATTTTTAATACTCTTCTATTGTCTTCCAGCTCCCTTCATTATTGAGAAGTTAGTATCATTCTGATTCCTGCTTCTTTATAATCTTTTTTTCCTTATCTGCAGTTTTTTTTTTTTTTAAATCTTATCTCAGGTGTTAAATTACGTGATGACCTGTGTAAGCTTTGGTCTCTTTTCATTTGTTGTGCTGCATAATCATTGGGTCTTTTAATCTGGAAACTCATATCTTTAGTTTCCAGAAATTTTCTTATTTCTCTAATAACTTTCTCCTCCATTTTCTGGGCTTCTCTTTTTTTTATTTTTAAAATTTATTTTTCCTTTTATTTTATTTTTTTAAAAGATTTTTTTATTTATTCATTCATGAGAGACAGAGATAGAGATAGAGACAGAGACATAGGCAGAAGGAGAAGCAGGCTCCATGCAGGAAGGCCAATGTGGGACTGGATTCTGGGACTCCAGGATTACTCCCTGAGTCAAATGCAGACACTCACCGCTGACCCCCCCAGGCATCCATCGGCTCCTCTTTTTACCTCTAGAACTATTAGTTGGATATTGGACATCCAAGCTTGATTCTCTGGTTTTATTGTCTTTTCTGTGTGTGCCTTTATCTCTTTTGTTGTTGTTATTTTATATAAATTTCATTAACTCATTCAATGAATTTAAAATTTTCTATTACTGAGTTCTTTCTCTTTTTGCTTAATAAAAAGATAACTGTGAGTAATGGTGTAAGTAATGACTAGTAGGAAATAAGTTGCTGTTGGGTTATATTACTTTTGATATGTCACTTGTAATTTAATTGGGAAGCCGTACAGATACCTTGTGATTATCTCAAATTCAAACTCTTATAGTCAGTATCCAATGCATCAAAGGCTGTGTGCCATTTGTTAAGAGAGCATAAAATGAATAGAGCAAGTGCAATTTGAAGGAAAGTATACATTTGAGAATTCAACACATTGTTTCATGAGGTGCATTTTTTATGGATCATGCAAAGTAACCAGAATTTTTGGTGTAATTTCATAGGATGAATTTTCAGGATTGTCACCATATGAAAGGAAGAGACTGAAGAACATATCAGAAAATGCAAACTTTTTTGCTTCTCTTCAGTTGTCTGAGGTTTGTGTGGAGTTTCTTTCTTTTTTTATTTTTTATTTTTTAAGATTTTTACTTATTTATTCATGAGAGAGAGAGAGAGAGAGAGAGAGAGGCAGACACACAGGCAGAGGGAGGAGCAGGCTCCCTGCAGGGAGCCCAGTGTGGGACTCCCTGGAATCACAACCTGAGCCAAAGGCAGATGCTCAACAACTGAACCACCAGGTACCCCTTGTGTGGAATTTCTAATTAAAAGCAAGATGCCGGGATCCCCAGGTGGCGCAGTGGTTTAGCACCTGCCTTTGGCCCAGGGCACAATCCTGAAGACCCGGGATCGAATCCCACGTCGGGCTCCCGGTTCATGGAGCCTGCTTCTCCCTCTGCCTATGTCTCTGCCTCTCTCTCTCTCTCTCTGTGTGTGACTATCATAAATAAATAAAAATTAAAAAAAAATAAAAGCAAGATGCCATTCTTCTTGCCTGTAGGTTAATAAAATACTCAAAGTATTAGGTTTCATATATCAGATAAGGGATGGTAAAATTAGGAATGAATTTTGCATTTAATAGGAAGAGGTTACCATATTTTATTGATTCTAAGACTTTTTTCATTTTAATGTTTTTGAAATTGGCATCTTGAAACTAACTGGCAGCTTTTCCTCCCTTTTGTTGGTGATCATGGTGTCTTATGAATGGCTGTCTTGGATTCAGAGGAACAGGGTATGTTCCAAGTGGTTGCTTTAGGCAAAGGATAAAGGAGAAGTAGGAGGAATGGGTTGAGGGTTGTGTGGTTAAGGAGTGAAAGGATAAACTTTTTCTTTCTTTCCTTCCCCCCCCCTTTTTTTTAAGATTTATTTATTTATTAGATCACATGCTGGGGGCGGGGGCGGCGGAGTAGAGGGAGCAGCAGGGTCCTGCAGAGCAGGGAACTCAGGTGTGGGGCTCAATCCCAGGAGCCTGGGATCATGATCTGAGTCTAAGGCAGATGCTTAACTGACTGAGCCATCCAGGCGCCCCCCCTTTTTTTTAAATCTTAAGGAATAGGTGGAAATATGCTTTGTATAGTGAACTTTAAGGATAAATGGCCAGATGTATGCTAATGTTTTATAATCATTGTGACTAAATGTGTAATTTACATTGTGCTTTCACACTGTGGATAAGTCTTCTATGTGTGAGATAGCTCTTCCTGAAGGAGGGTGTGTGGTATTTTCCTTCAAAAGATAAGCCCTTGGCTTTACTAAATAATTACTTAATTTCTTGGGTTACACATTCCCAAATATTCAGCATGTGTTTGCATCTTGAGGGAAGGGAGGGCAACTTAATATGAGGGAACAACATTATTAAGTCACTAAAAGTTGAAAATTAAACAGAAATTTATTTTTTTAAGTTTTTTTTTTTTTAAGATTTTATTTATTTATTCATGAGAATACACAGAGAGGAGAGAGAGAAGCAGAGACACAGGCAGAGGGAGAAGCAGACTCCATGCAGGGAGCCTGATGTGGGACTCGATCCCAGGTCTCCAGGATTACACCCTGGGCTGCAGACAGCGCTAAATGACTGAGCCACCAGGGCTGCCTTAAACAGAAATCTAAACAGAGTATCTCTGATTTTTATTTTAGTTAACAGAAATTAAGATTTTTTTTTAAGATTTTATTTATTAATGAGAGACAGAGAGAGAGAGAGAGAGAGAGAGAGAGAGGCAGAGATACAGGCAGAGGGAGAAGCAGGCCCCATGTAGGGAGCCTGATATGGGACTCGACCCCGGACTGCAGGATCAGGCCCTGGGCTGAAGGCAGGCGCTTCAGGTGCCCAGAAATTAAGATTTTATTTATAGAAGTATAATATAACTTTTCTGGGAACTATCAAAGTAGGATTACCTGCAGTAGAAGTTACACCTTTTAATTTATAATAGTATGTTTGATTAAATGTTTAATATTTAATCATATAAACTCATTAGCAACCTGGTCCAAGGTATCAGAATGTCAGTACTTTAAGAATGTTAATGCCCCATACTGGGGCTTAAACTACTGACATTTGGCTTAAACTCATAACCCTGAGGTCAAGACCTGAGCCCAGATCAAGAGTTGGATGCTTAACCAACTGAGCCACCCAGGTACCCCAGTCCTTTAGATGGTATTATTTACTTGCCTTTATTATTGATAGTGTGTTTGTTTCATGTCTATTACCAAGAGCAGGTATATTTTAAGGATCTTTATTTCCTATATAGATCTTAGTGTCGATAAAGCAGCATACTTAATATTTTATAAGGTAGTATCTTTTCATGTATGTTTTGTGTATTTTGCAGTCAGCTGCAAGGCTCCGTGAAATGATAAAGAGGAGGCAGCCTCCTGCATCCAAAAGGTAAAAGATTTGGTTTATAATGCCTATACGACGATGCATTGTTGAGTTATTTATAATTTGAAAAAAATAGTTATGTGGTAAAATAATAAATCAGAAGCCGTAACCTTTTTTTTTCTTTTAAGATTTTATTTATTTATTCATGACAGACAGGGGGGGGGGTGGGCAGAGACACAGGCAGAGGGAGAAGCAGGCTCCATTCAGGGAGCCCGATGTGGGACTCGATCCCGGGTCTCCAGGATCAGGCTCTGGGCTGAAGGCGGCCCTAAACCGCTGCGCCACCGGGGCTGCCAGATATTCTATTTTTAACTTCAACAAATTTCACTTGGTTATTGCAGCATATAGGAAAAGAATTGACTTTTATATATTAACTGTGTATCCTACAACTTAGCTCTAATCACTTACTAGTTCCAGAGTTCTTTTGTTCATTTTTTAGAATTTTCTACATAGACTGTCAGGTCATCTATGAGCAAATGCAGCTTTTTAAAAAAACTTAATAGATTACTAGTTTATTATAAAAGGATATAACTTAAAACAACTAAAGGAAGAGATGCATAGGGCAAGGCATGGGGAAATGCTCTCTCAGAGCGTGTAACTCTCCGAGCACATCCATGTGTTCACCAACCTGGAAATTCTTGTTTTTTATTTTTATTAAAAAAATATTTATTTGAGAGAGAGCAAGTGAAGGGAGGGACAGAGCTAGAGGGAGAGGGGGAGAATTCCAGGCCCAGGGCAGACACCGACTTGGGGTTTGATCTTATGATCCTGAGATCATGACCTTAGCCGAAATCAAGAACTGGATGCTTAACTGACTGAGCCACCCAGGCATCCCCAACTTGGAAACTCTTGAACAAATATAGTTTTATTTTTTCTTCCAAATCTGCGTACCCTTTGTTTCTTTTTCTTGTCTTACTCTATCAACATAGTGCTGAAAGGAATGGGGAGAGAGGACATTCTTGCCTGTACCTGATCTTGGTGGGAAAGCTTGGTGTTTCTCACCATTTAAGTATGACATTAGCTATAGCTTTTCTGTAGATACTCTATCAAGTTGAGAAGGTTCCCCTCTAGTTTACTGATATTTTTATCATGAAAGTAGGATCACGTGATTTTGCTTTTTTAGCCTATTGATGTGATGGATTACTTTGAATGATTTTCAATAGGCTACATTAAGACATTTTTGAATGTTGAACTAGTCTTGCATACCTCAAATATATCCCACTTGGTTTAGTACTTTTTGTATATTGTTGGGTTCAGTGTACTAATATTTTGTTGAGAGTTTTGCATCTGCTCATGAGACATTATTGGTCTGTAGTTCTCTGTTTTTATAATGTCTTTAGTTTTATTATTATGGTAATGCTGGCCTCATAGAATTAGGTAGGTAATATTCTCTCTGCTTCTATCCTCTAAAAGACATTGTAGAGAACTGATATGATTTCTTTCTTAAATGTTTGGTAAAATTCACCGGTGAACTTATGTCAGCCTGGTGCTTTCTATTTTGGAAGTTGATTAATTAATGATAATAATTTCTTTAATAGGTGTAAGCCTATTCAGATTATCTATTTCTTTTCTTTTCTTTTTCTTATTTTTTTTTTTTTTAAGATTTTACTTATTTATTCATGAGAGGCAGAGAAACAGGCAGAGGGAGAAGCAGGCTCCATTCAGGGAGCCCGATGTGGGACTCGATCCCGGGTCTCCAGGATCAGGCTCTGGGCTGAAGGTGGCACTAAACTGCTGAGCCACCCGGGCTGCCCAGATTATCTATTTCAAATTCAGATTGTGACAGTTGTGTCTTTCAAGGAATTGTCCGTTTCATCTAGGTCATCAAATATGTTGGCATAGAGTCCATATCATTTCTTTATTATCTTTTTAATGTCCATAGGATCTGTAGTAAGACCCATCTTTCCTTTCTGATATTGATAATTTTTTTTTCATAGTTAGCCTTGCTAGAGGCTTATTAATTTTACTGGTGTTTTAAGTTATTTATTTATTTATTTATTTATTTATTTATTTATTTATTTATTTGACAGAGAGAAAGAGATAGCACAAGCAGGGAGGACAGCAGGCAGAGGGAGAGGAAGAAGCAGGATCCCTGCTAAGCAGGGAGTCCAATGCGGAACTTGATCCCAGGACCGGTCCTGGGATCATGATCTGAGCCAAAGGCAGATGCTTAACTGACTGAGCCACCAGACACCCCTAATTGTTTTTTTAAAAAAAATATGTTTTATTTATTTGAGAGAGAGAAAGAGAAGATACCAAGCATGAGCAGGGAGAGGGGCAGAGGGAGAATCTCAAGCAGACTTCACAATTCGCGTAGAATTGGACATGAGTCTTGATCTCACGACTGTGCTGTCATGACCTGAGCTGAAATGGAGAGTCAGACGCTTAACCAATTGAGCCACCTAAGCGCCCCAGATTTTAATGGTTTTTTGGAAGAATTGGCTTTTGGCTTTATTGATCTACCCCCCTTCCCTGCCCCCCGGTGATTTCTTGTTTTCAATTTTATTTATCTGCTTAATTTTTATTATTTTTTTCTTCTCTTTACTTTGGATTAATTTGCTCTTCTTTTTCTAGTTTCCTAAGTTGGAAACTTATCTAATTTTTGACCTTCTTTCCTAATATATGCATTTACTATTATAAATTACCCTCTAAGCACTGCTTTCCTCACATCCCACAATTTTATGAGGTTGTATTTTCATTTTAATTTAGTTAGAAACATTATGTCCTCTTGAGATTCCTTCTTTGATCCATGTGTTATTTATTTTTTAAATTTTATTTAAATTCAGTCAATTAACATAAAATCTATTATTGATTTCTGAGTAGAGGTGATTCATCAGTCTTATATAATACCCTGTGCCCGTTATGTCACGTGCTCTCCTTAATGTTCATCACCCAGTTACCCTGTACCCTCACTGCTCTCTCCTCCAGCGACCCTCAGTTTGTTTCCTGTGATTCAGAATCTCTTATGGTTTGTCTCCCTGATTTCGTCCTCTTTTATTTTTTACTCTCTTCCTCTATGATCCTCTGTTTTGTTTATTAAATTCCACATGTGAATGAGATATGATAATTATCTTTTTTGACTTATTTCACTTAGGATAATATCCTCTAGTTCCATCCATGTTGTTGCAAATGACAAATTTCATTTTTTGATGGCTGAGTAGTATTTCATGGTTTATTAGAAGTGTGTTTTTAATCTGTATATATTTTGGATTTTCCATGTATCTTTCTCATTGATTTCTAGTTTAATATGGTTGTGTTCTGAGAACAAACATTGTATGAATTTCTTTTCAAATTTCTATTCTTTTAAGTTTGTTAAGGTGTGTTTTATGGTCTGGAATGTGGTCTACCTTGGTGAATATTCTATCTGAGCTTGAGAGAAATGTGTATTCTGTTTTTGAATGAACTGGTATATGGATATTGGTTATATCTACTTCATGGATGGTGTGTTGAGTTCAACTGTGCCTTGCTGATTTTGCCACCTGCTGGATCTCTCCATTTCTGACAGGGGAATGTTGAAGTCTCTGACTAAAATAGTAGAGCTACCTATTTTTGTAACTCTATTAGTTTTTACCTTACATAGTTTGATGCTCTGTTGTTAGGTGTATTGTATTATGTTGTCTTGGAGAATTGACTCTCCTTCATCGTTCCTTCATCATTATGTAATGCCCTTCTTTATAATAACTTTCCTTTTTTAAATTTTAATTAAAAAAATTCTCCTTTTTTTTTTTTAAAGATTTTATTTACTTATTTATTCATGAGAGACACACAGAGAGAGGCAGAGGGAGAAGCAGGCTCTCTGCAGGGAGCCTGATGCAGGACTCCCATCGCGGGACCATGGGACCATGCCCCTAGCATGCATGCCCTGAGCATGCATCAGGCAGATGCTCAACCGCTGAGCCACCTAGGCGTCCCTCTATGATAACCTCCTTTGCTTTGAAGTCTGCTCTGTCTGAAATTAATGTAGCTATTCCTGCTTTCTTTGGATTTGTGTTAGCATGGTGTATTTTTCTCCATTCATTTACTTTTAATCTTTGTATCTTTATTTTTTTAAAGATTTTATTTATTAATTCATGGGAGACACAGAGAGAGAGAGAGAGGCAGAGACACAGGCAGAGAGAGAAGCAGGCTCCATGCAGGGAGCCTGATGTGGGACTCGATCCCGGGTCTCCAGGATCATGTCTTGGGCTGAAGGTGGCGCTAAACCACTGAGCCACCCGGGCTGCCCTCTTTGTATCTTTATATCTAAAGTAGGTTTCTTACAGCAACATATGTTTGGGTATTGTATTTGATCCATTCTGACAATCTCTTTTAATGGTGCACTTAGACCACTGATATTCAAAGTGAGTATTGATAAATTTGGTTAATTATCTACCATATTTGTTTATGTGGTTATTGATATATTTGTATTTCTATCTATTGTATTTGTTAATATTTTCTGCTTATTGCCCTTGTTTTCTGTTCCTATATTTGCCTCTACTCTTTTTCTGCCTTTTATGGTTTTAACTACACTTTTTTTTTTAAAGATTTTATTTGGGGATCCCTGGGTGGCGCAGTGGTTTAGCGCCTGCCTTTGGGCCAGGGCGCGATCCTGGAGACCCGGGATCGAAACTCACGTCGGGCTCCCGGTGCATGGAGCCTGCTTCTCCCTCTGCCTGTGTCTCTGCCTCTCTCTCTCTGTGTGACTATCATAAATAAATAAAAATTAAAAAAAAACTTTAAAGATTTTATTTATCTGAGAGAGACAAAGAGATCAAGAGCAAGCAAGTGAGGGGAGGGGCAGAGAGAGAAACAGACACCCTGCTGAGCAGGGAGCCCAACTTGGGGCTTGATCCCCGGACCCTGGGATCATGACCTAAGCCAAAGTCAGATGCTTAACTGAAAAGCCACCCAGGTGCCTGAAACATTTTATGTGATATCATTTTCTTTCCTTTCTTAGGATATCAGTTATACTCACCCCCCCTTTTTTTTATGTGAATGCCCTAGAGTTTACAATATATATATATATTGTATATATACACAAGTCCACTTTCACCTAATAATAAACAACTTCACAGTGTGATTGGGTATAGTGAGTACCTTTTAATAACAAAATAATCCTAATTCTCCTTTCTTGTCCCTTGTACCGTTGTCATTCATTTCACATGTATAAACAAACATAAGTGTACTTATATATATATATATATATATGCGTAGGTGTATATATACAGGTATGCATAAGATATATACATAAGTGTACGTAACCAGATACATTGTTGATATTATTTTGAGCTAGCTGTTGTTAATTAAGAATGAGAAAAATAAATTTTTTTTACCTTTATTTATTCCTTCTTTGATGCTCTTCCTTTCTTTTTGTGGATCTGAGTTTCTGATCTATGTTATTCCTCTCTTATTTTAAAAAGATTTTACTTATTTATTTATTCATGAGAGACACAGAGAGAGGGAGAGGCAGAGACACAGGCAGAGGGAGAAGCAGGCTCCATGCAGGGAGCCCAATGTGGGACTTGATCCTGGGACTCCAGGATCACACCCTGGGCTCAAGGCAGGCGCTAAACTGCCGAGCCACCCAGGGATCCCATGTTATTCTTCTCTTTAAAGTACTTTAAACATTTCTTGTAAGGCACATATACTGGCAACAAATTCTGCCATTATTTATTTATATATTTATTTTTTTAAGTAACCTCTATGCCCAGTGTGGGGCTCAAATTGATGACTACAAGATCAAGAGTTGCATGCTCCACTGACTGAGCTTGCCAGGTGTCTCTCTCAACTCCACTCTTGATTGCATAGTTTACGAAAGGATGGATGTAGTTCTTATCTTGTTTGCCTATAGGTAAGGTGCTTTTTTCCTTCTGGTGTCTTTCAGGATTTTTCCTTTCTCTTTGATTTTCTGTAGTTTGGAAATGAATGGCCTAGGTGTAGTTTTTTTGCTTGATGTACTCTGAGCTCTTCGGATCTGTGCTTTGGTATCTGACATTTATTTGGAGGTAATTCTTGGTTACTATTTTTCAAATATATCTTGTGTTTTTCCCTTTTACTTATCCTTCTGGCATTCCCATTATGTGTATGTTACACCTTTTGTAGTTATCCCACAACTCTTGGATACTCAGGGTTTTTTTTTTTTTTTTCAGTCTTTTTTCTACTTGCTTTTCAGTTTTAAGGTTCGTATGGAGATATCCTTAAACTCAGGTATTCTTTCCTTAGCAGTGTCTTATCTACTAATCTCATCAAAGGCATTCTTCATTTCTCTTAGTGTTTTTGATTTCTAGCATTTCTTTTTGGTTCTTTCTTTGGATTTCCATCTCTCTTCTTATGTTGACTATCTGTTCTTAGATTGTGTTTAATTTATCCATTAGAGCCCTTAGCATATTAATTTTTTTTGCATATTAATTATAGTTGTTTTCAATTCCTGTTCTGATGAGGGTGCCTAGGTGACTTAGTTGGTTAAGCATTTAACTTCTGCGCAGGTCACGATCTCAGGATCCTGGCATCAAGCCCCACATTGGGCTCTGCACTCAGCGAGGAGTCTCCTTGTCTCTCTACCTCTCCTTCTGCCCCTCCCCCTACTTATGCTCTCTCTCATTCTTTCAAATAAATGAAAAATTTTAGAAAAAGTTTAAATTTCTGTTCTGATAATTCCAATATCCCTGCCATGTCTGGTTCTGAAGTTTGCTGTGTCTCTTTAAATTGTGTTGTCTTTCATTGTGCCTTGTAAATTTTTTCTTGATAACTGGACATGATGTACCAGGAAAAAGGAACTGTTGTAAATAGGCCTTTAGTAATGTGTCAAAGGGGAGAGAAAGCTGTTCTATAGTCCTGTGATTAGGTCTCACTCTTTTAAAGGAGGCTTTGTCTTTGGATAGTGAACTTCACGAGTGTTTTAGTTTCTTTCCTCCCCACAATAGGTGGGAGAGGATGATTAAGTGTGGGCTGGAGTTGGGTATTTCCTTTTTCTCAGGTTAAGCTCTGATAATACCTTGGCAGGGCAGGCTCTGGTTAAGTAGTTCTCCAGAGAGCACACCTTGTTAAGAAGAACAAAGTGCTCTGGTGTATTTCAAAATGGTCCTTTTCCCCCTCCTACTGTGGGAAGCATGAGGGGATTTTTCTCTGATACTTACTGAAGACCTAGTTGAGTTCCCAGATGTAAATCTCACAAAATAGTGGGGTGAGTCCCACTTGAGGGTTTTTTTTTTAAAGACTTCCTTTTTATTTTTTTAGAGTAGTTTCTTTTTTATAACAAAACTGATAGGAGGGTACAGAGGTTTCCTGTATATTCCTCTACTCCTACATATGCATAACCTTCCCCGTTATCAACATCATTCAGCACAGTGGTACATTTATTAATAAGGATGAATCTACTCTGATACATCATAATCCCCTAAAGTCCATAGTTTGCCTTAGAGTTCACTCTTGTACATTGTGTGGCTTTGTACAAATGTATAATGACATATATCCATCACTTTTACCACCCTAAAAATTTTCTGTGTTCTCTCTGTTCATCACCTTACCATCTTCAACCGGGCACATATCTTTTTATTGTCTGTATTTATAGTTTTGCCTTTAATAGAATGTCGTGTATTTCAGATCATACAGTATGTAGCCTTTTTATATTTCTTGCTCTTAGTAATATGCATTTAAGGTTTCTCCTTGTCTTTCATGGCTTGATAGCTTGTTTCTTTTTAGTGCTAAACAATATCCCATTGTTTGGATATATTGTAGTTTATCTGTTCAGTAAGTGGAAGACATCTTGGCTGCTTCCCAGTTTTGACAGTTGTAAACAAAGTTGCTGCACGTTTTTGTGTGGACCGCTATGGAGTGTTTAACTTGTCCATGCTGACTGAGTCTCCAGTAACTGGTCAGTTATAGTTTTCCTACCTTGGCATTTGTTCCCATTGTGGTTTTTGTTCTTCACTTTCCATTTCAGTAAGCCATGACTCTATATTTGTCTATTTCTCCGGTGTTGAGGCTAGCAGTTCATACTGTGTCCTTGCCTCTCTTAAGGATCCTAGAAGAGTTACTGATTTTTTAATCTATTCACCTTTTAACTTGAAAAGAAAGAGTGGTGAATTTCAAGTTCCTTATATGTGGAACTGGAAATTGAAAGTTTTGAACTACTTTTTTAAAATGAAAAAGTAGTGCATTAAAAAGTAGGGCATGTATATGATTTTAAAAAGTAAACTGTATGGAAAGAAATGCAGTGAAACATTTAAATATCTTTTTCATTTTAGATCTTAGTTCTCCAGGCCTTCTCTCTAGAAGAAACCACTGTTAATAGGTTCCTGTATATTCTTCCATAGGTAATCTTAGCATGTACAAATGTATGTGTGTACATAACCCTTTTCTAAAAAAACAAATGGAAGCATATTCAACATGTGCTGGACCTAGTTTTTGCTTCTTATATCTTAGAGTTCATGTCATATCAGCATGCAGAGATCTATTTCATTCTTTTAATGGTTATATATTATTCTGTTAGAGATGTATGCCATAATTTATTTTAACACCTCTTACCTCACCATGATGGAACATTTATGATTTTATTTAAAAGCATGGAAATATCATAAATGTTCAACTAAGATCAATGTGGTTATGTATATACATCCTTGTGATGTGAGTATATCTGTGAGGTACATTCCTGGAAGTTCTCTCCTTAATAAATTCATATAACTCGTATAACGAATTTTTTCCCATTCCTTTAGGAAAAAGCCTAAGAAGAGAGAAAATGAGACTGGATGTAGAAGGTCAATGAGACTACTAAAAGTAGATCCTTCAGGAGTGTCTTTACCAGCAACCCCAACCCAGCCGACAATAATAGAAGATGAAAATGTAAGAAAGGGTAAAAACAGTATATTACTCAATATACTACTGAAAAATTTGAAATGTTTGAAACTAGATTAAAAGGTCACTAAATTATGCTTAATTTGTACTTTGTTAATATAATACTTGACTGTTTCTAGATTACTGAGTAGGATTTCAAAGTGTAAAGATTAGTTTGGATTCTGTTTTTCTGCAGGCTTACCTGCTGTGGAATTATGGACAAATTACTTAACCTTTCTGAGCCCCAGTTTCCCCATATTTAAAGTGGCAACAGTATAGAAACCTCAAAGAGGTGTTGTGGGAGTTAATTGAAATAGTATCTATAAAGTTCCTTATACTGTGTTAAGGGGTGAGTGAGTAATCAATAAATGGTAGTATTAATGTAATTAATAATGCATAGTATGTGATAATGGTGATAGCCCCTTGCTGTAGTATAACTTTGTACTATCAGTGAATAGAAAGAGTTTTATTTACCAAGTTTATTGTCTAAATAAGATGATAATTATATTTCTTATTCAAGAGCACCCACTGTTTTTAATATCATATCTAAGTGCTTAATTATAAATTGGAATATAGCATTAATTAGACTGGTGCTTTGGGAGCTAATTGCAAATTAAAGTGCTTAGGAAGAGTAGCTTTTCAGTTTTTCTGAAGCCTCTACCCATGATAAATATATTTACATTGAGCTCATTAATGCCACACAGCTGAAGATCAATACTTGTAAAATGATACTTATACTTATTGCATGTGATGTACTTTTTGTACTTTCTATTCTTATTCATTAAAACATTGCTGGTTGTGACATATTGAAAAGATTTTATTTATTTTTTAAATTTATTTATTCATGAGAAACATAGAGAGAAAGGCAGAGACATAGGCAGAAGGAGAAGCAGGCTCCCTAAGGGGAGCCTGATGTGAGACTCGATCCTGGGGCCCAGGGATCATGCCCTGAGCTGAAGGCAGAGCTCAACCACTGAGCCACCCAGGGGTCCCTGAAAAGATTTTATGATCCATGGCTGACAATGTGTGATTTAAAAAACACTAGCATAGAATAATTTTACTCTGAGTAATGAAATTGAACTGATCTGAATCAATTCCCAGCAGTTCCTGTTCTTGGCAGTATAACTTTGGACAAGGTAACTTCTCTAAGTTTCATTACAATCTCTTTAAAATGTAGTATCTCATTCACTGAATGATTGTGATGATTAAATGGGGTAATATGTGTCATTAGTGTACAGGGTATATCTGGCAATTGAGCAACTGTTTTGGAGTGCTAATGATGTGTCACCTATATTGTTGGTAGTGAAAGTAAAGTAGTGAAAAATTTACATTCTAGGGCAGAGCAACAATCAATCTGTTTTATTTTTCATTTTATTCTTTATTTTCTTATTTTTTATATCAGCCTATGTTACCTCCTGGGCCTTTAGAAATGACTCCTGAAAATCAAGATGCTGACAGTGAGCTATTTAAAAGATTTCTACACACTTGGGCAGAAGTGAGCAAGGTATCACTTGGGAGGGCTTACACCTTTTAGAATTATCTGTTAAGGAAGTTTGAGTACATATATTAATTTAGTATTTGGTCTTTTTCATTGTTTTAGACAAGTGGTAAAAATACTGAGAAGGACTTACCTAACATTAAAAGGTGAGTTAAAATCCCTTGCCTTTGTTTTAAGTTTTCTTCAGTCTTTAAATTGTAAAGACTATATACCATCCCTGGAAGTTTTGAAAATTAGTTGAAAAAATTATCTGTAATATTTCCACCCTAACAACTGTTGTTTTTATATGTGTCCTTTCAGATATGCAATACCATTATGATATAAGCTTCATAAATGCAGAGATTTTGTCTCAATAACCAAAACCAGTGCCTGGTGCATACTATATATTCACTCATTATTTAGTAAATGAATGAATCCATGTGCATTTTTAGTTTATTGTGTTCTAATGTATATATAAATTTGCATTATGCTTTTTCTGTAATATAGTGAAAATATTAATGTTATTAGTCTTTAAATTTATTGAATATTGCATATGATCTCATTTAATAGGTGATATTATTTATTATTATTTTAATATATATTAAATAATATATATTATATATAATATATTATATTATTATATAATAATATAGTATTATTATATTATTGTATATTATTATTTAATATTATTATTATTATTTATTTAACCTTTTGTTACTCTGTTGGTAGTTGGAATTGTCAATTTAGTGTGGTTAGTTGTGTATTTAATTATATGTGTGTTTATGTATAAGTGTATACGTGTGATACTGGGTTAATTCTTTAGGATAGATTCCTGAAGTGATATTAATGAGTCAAATATGGTGGACATTTTGTGGCTTTTAGTATACATTGTTGAATTGTTTTCTAAAATCTTTTTTTCTTCAGAAAATCTTATATAAATTTACTCTGCCACTAGCACTGTTAATGAATGTATATGTTTAAATGCAACCTTCTACCTTTTATGAGTAAAAAATAGTATCCCATGTTTAATTTAATTTCTTTGGTTACTAGGAGGTTGACTATGTACTATCTCTTTTTTGAATCATCTTTTTAGTTATTTTGATTACTGATTGGTTTTACTTCTAAAATTTAACTTTTTTTCTCAGCTATAAAGCTAATTTAAATGGCATGGTCATTAATGAAGATACTGTTCGTAAAGTTACCAAAGGCTCAGTATTCTCTGTGGCTCTCCACCCATCAGAAATTAGAACTTTGGTAGCAGCTGGGGCCAAATCTGGGCAAGTTGGACTTTGGGATTTGGTAAGTTATTAATTTTTTGAAGATAATAGTTTTTTTTTTTCTTAAAGGTTTTATTTAGTTATTTGAGAGAGAGCGAGAACACAAGCATGGGAGGCAAAAGAGGGAGAGGGAAAAGCTCCCTAAGCAGGGAGCCCCATGTGGAGCTCTGTCCTAGGACCCTAGAATCATGACCTGAGCTGAAGGCAGATGCTTAACTGACCAAGCCATCCAGGTACCCCTGAAGATAATAAAGTTTGACTGAAACAATATACAGGAGAAGAGCTTAGAGCCATGTGTTTTTAGATGTTACTTGAGATTTATAGTTTTGTACTTTGTGCTTTCAAATTTTAGAAGTCGAGAAATTTTAGTTGGGTTTCTAGAACTTTAACATTTTTAATTTGAATATTTTTAGTCATCTGAGCATAAGTTAATTGCCAGGAAACTGTTAAACCTTTAAACATATATATGAAAATATCACATGAAGTTCTCGGTTTTCTAACTATGTTAATCTTTAAAAAGAATTAATTAATTAAATTAATTAGAGTGCGTGTGCGCACAAGTGGAGAGGGCAGAGGGAGAGGGAGAAGCAGATTCCCAACTGAGCTGAGAGCCTGACATGGGGCTCCATCCCAGGACTCTGGGATCATGACCTGACCGAAGGCAGACACTTAACTGACTGAGCCATCTAGGTGTCCCTCTAATTATGTTTAAAATAAAGTTTCCAAGCTGGAAAAGATCTTCTCAGGGGTCTGCTTAGGATGATCCCATTCATTTTTTTTTATGAGTCACAAATGGATGCTGAATTCTATTCACTGTAGATATAATTCTGCATGGATTGCTTTTGGTGTTTACAAAATTGAGAAAAGCCGGGATCCCTGGGTGGCGCAGCAGTTTAGCGCCTGCCTTTGGCCCAGGGCGCGATCCTGGAGATCCGGGATCGAATCCCACGTCAGGCTCCCGGTGCATGGAGCTTGCTTCTCCCTCTGCCTGTGTCTCTGCCTCTCTCTCTCTCTGTGTGCCTATCATAAATAAATAAAAATTAAAAAAAAAAAAACAAAAAACAAAATTAAGAAAAGCCAAGTTAATGTTCTCTGAATTTATTTTCTAACTGACGAAGTAGAACAAAGACCTGAAAAATACCAAAAGGACAATTAATGGATATGAAGACACTATGGTAACTTGAAGCTGGTTCAGGTTAATAAATTTTGTGAGAAGAGAGAAATAAATTCCAAATTCCAAATTCTCTCTTGTTTTTGGAACATAAGTTCCTCCTTATTTGGATAAAGTATTATTGATGAGGGTGGGAGATGAAAGTATTTGGTAAATAAAACAAGTAGAGAAGTGGGAAGAGGACTAAAATAGTATAAGGTAGTACAATCTAAGAGATGAATTTCATGCATCGGAGTTTGACAAGGCTTCTTGTAGGTGAGTTAAAAAGAATGGGAGTAGAGAAAAGGCCATTGGTTTTGAGAATGGAGTACCATTAGTGAGTTGAGAGAATAGCTTCAACAATAAGGAAGGAACACAAACTGAGAGAATAAAAAAGAATGGGGTAGTGAAAGAAATGAAAGCAATGGATAAAGTTCAGTGGTTGAAGAACTTTGAAAAGGAAAGAATAGAAAATTAGCATAGTCAAGTGAAGATCTTTTCAGGGTAGATTGATTTGTATACAATTGAAGACATGTATAAAAGTCCCTTTGTCATGTCTTTCCAGGTGACTCCAAAATTTGTATTACTAGGTCTCTGTAGTCTAGTATCTCTATCAGCCTTCTAATTTTCCTAGACACTTGGCTTAACTGCTTGAGGAAATCTGAAACCTAATACTTCTGCTGTCCTTTGCTCATCCCCCAACTCCCTTAGTTTTAAAAAATTAACTTTATTAAGACATTATTTATATATTATAAAGTTCATGTTTTTTTTTTTAAAGTTCATGTTTTAAATGTACAATTCAATGATTTTTTAATAGGTTTACTGAGTTGTATAACTATCTTTATACTCCAGGTTTAGAACATTTTCATCATTTCTGGAAGGTTCCTCTTGGCTGACATTTAACCGCTCAGTTAATTACCCTCATTCCCAGGCAGATCTCCATAAAATTTGTCCTTTTTGAACATGTTATGGAATCATACAATATGTGGTCTTAAATGTTAACTTCTTTCTCTTAGAATAATGTTTTCAAGGTTCATTTATGTTTTAGTATATATCAGTATTTCATTCTTTTCCAATTGTTGAACAATATTCTATTGTTTGTCTATACCACATTTTGTTGATCCATTTTATCACTTGATAGATATTTGGGTTGTTTCCACTTTTTGGCTATTCTGAATAATGCTACTATAAACATTTGTTTTAATTTCTCTAGGGTAGATACCTAGGGATAGAATTGCTGGGTCTTATGGCAACTTGTTAACATTTTGAGGAATTGCCAAACTGCTTTCCAAAGCGATTGCCTTGCTTGATATTCCCACCAGCAATATATGAGGGTTCTAATTTCTCCACATGCTCACCGGTGTTTATTATTATCTGTCTTTTTGATTATAGCCTTTCTGGTAGGTGTGAAGTGGTATCTCATTGTAGTTTTGATTTGAATCCTAATGACTAGGGATCCCTGGGTGGCGCAGCGGTTTGGCGCCTGCCTTTGGCCCGGGGCGCGATCCTGGAGACCCGGGATCGAATCCCACATCGGGCTCCCGGTGCATGGAGCCTGCTTCTCCCTCTGCCTGTGTCTCTGCCTCTCTCTCTCTCTCTGTGACTATCATAAATAATAAAAAAAAAAATTAAAAAAAAATGAATCCTAATGACTAAAGAGGTTCAGCATTTTTTCATGCCATTTGGGTATCTTTGGTGAAATGGCTATTCAAATCTGTTATCAATTTTTTTATTATGTTTTTTGTCTTATTGAATTTTAAGAGTTTGTAAATTCTAGATACAAATTCTTTATTAGATATGTTTTGCAGATATTTCTTTTAGTCTTCTAGTCTTTTTTAATGCTTTTTTTCTCTTTAATGCTTTCTTTTGAAGTGTAAAAGTTTTGAATTTGTATGATGTCCAATTAAAAAAAATTTTTATAAGATTTTTTAATTTATTTGACAGAGTGTGCACAGCAGGGGGAGTGGCAGGCAGAGGTAAAGGGAGAAGCAGGTTCCCCACGGAGCAGGGAGCAGGAAGCCCAATGCCTCGATCCCAGGACACTGAGATTGTGACCTGAGCCAAAGGCAGACGCTTAAGCAACTGAGCCACCCAGGCACTCTGAATTTATCAAAAAATTTGAATGGATTGTACTTTGGTGTTATATCTTAGACATTTTTGTCTAGCTCCAAGTATTGAAGAACTTTTTTTTTTTTGTCCTAAAATTTTTAGTTTTTCCTTTCACATTCAGTTTGTTGATTCATCTTGAGTTGTTTTTTATATATGGTGTGAGATAAGGGCCCAATTTTTTTTTTTTGTTTTTTTGGGGTTTTTTTGTATGTGAATATTCAGTTGTCATTTTTTGAGAAGACTATCCTTTCCCCCATTGAATTGCCTTGACAGTCTCTCAGTTTTTCCTCTTTGTCAGATTCCTAGTGTCACCTAGAATGAGAAGTTGAGCTATCCTTTATTAAGTCACTCATTTACCCATTCATTCCTTCATTCTTTCCACATTTATTGAGTATTTTGTGCTAAGTAATATTCTTATGATACCCCAGCCATGAGATATTTATGAGCAAAGACTGTCTCTGCCCTCTTAAGAGTTTAGAATTTAGTGGCCAAGTCAGTCAGCATTAATGAAATTATGGCCAAAAAAGTAATTAAATATTTGGTAAGTGGAGTGAATTATATACTGTGATTAATGGACTGAAGGAAAAGTAGTGTTAATGAAAACACAAGACAGGGTGCTGGCCTAATTTGGAGGATCAGAGAAAGCCTCCCTGAGAACTGAGAACTGAAATGAGATTTTTTTTTTTTAAGATTTTTTAAATTTATTCATGAGAGACACAGACTGACAGAGAGAGGCAGAGACATAGGCAGAGGGAGAAGCAGGCTCCATGCAGGGAGCCCGATGCGGGGCTCGATCCCGGGACCCCAGGATCATGCCTGGGCCGAAGGCAGGCACAAAACCGCTGAGCCACCCAGGGATGCCCCCTGAAATGAGATTTGAAAGATAAGTAGCTATAGACCAAGTACAGAAAGGGGGAAGAGTATTTCAGGTATGGGGAACAGCATGTTCCTTAGGCAAGGGAAGCCTACCTGATACATTTAAGGACCTGAAAGAATATTTGTGTGGCTAGAGTATAGATAGCAAAGGAATGAACAAGAGGGATGAGTGAAATAGGAGGAAGCTGTAGAGGTGGGCAGAAGCCAGATGTATATATGTTTTTGTAAGTTTTGTTAAGAATTTTGATTTTTATCCTTAAAGCAGCAGGAAGCTATTGAAGAGTTTTAAGCTGGGTATTCTCTTCATTCCTTGTGTCTAATAAAGTCCTTTAATGCTTTTGTCACTTTCCATCCTTACTGCCATTATGTTGGGCCAGAGCCCCATCTTCTGTTTTAGAATTACCATACTGGTCTTAATTGGTACTTGTACTTTCAGTTTTCCTATTCCAATTCACTGTGCACAGATAGTCATTTCTAGGCTCAAAACAAACTGGCCCTGGATTCAATTAGGTTTAAAGTAGTAAGAAGCACTTTTTATTTTTTATTTTTTTTAAGATTTGATTTTTAAGTAATCTTCCCACCCAATGTGGGGTTCAAATTCACAACCCTAAGACCAAAAGTTGCATGCTCCACCGAGTCAGGTGCCCCTAGAAGCAGCTGGTATATTCAGATTATATTCAGATTAAAATAGGCAATTGGAATTTCTCATAGAATGAGCAAAGAGCAGTCACATCAGTAAGTAAAAAAATAAAATAAAAAATAATCTCTTAGAGCAATAAGGAAGAAGTATAACTTAATGCAGTGTATTTCTTTAGCTTTTTTGGGGGGTGAGGGACACAGCATGGCTTAGTATCTACCTTGCCTTACAGTCAAAATCCATATTGGTG